GGAAATGTGTCACTGGAGTTTGTGTTTGGCCTGGAACTGCTCTGTCCTGCAGTGTAGACTTGAGCATAGGAAAGAGACTTTACAGGTAACCTGTGATAGGCTTAGTCACTCAGGGTAGCAGTTCTCCGGTCCTCCCGGAGGCAACCCCTGCCCGCAGCGTGTGTGCAGTCACGAGAGCGGGCTTTTCTGGAGATGATGGGAGCAGTACGGCAGGGCCTTTAAGTTAGGTCAGTGTTTGTGCAGGTTGTCTTCAGAGCCCAGATGGCTTATCAGAAGAGAAATTAAAATTGCACAGCAGTTAAAGTCCCTCCATTTATATGGCTGAATTTGGTATCTCATTTCTTTGCAGTGTCAGAGGGACTGGATGTAAAGCAGAGATAAAAAGAAGAGGCTGGAGGAGCACAGTCAGAAGGTGGGTTCTCATGTGAGGTCAGAGCCAAGACATGACTTTTGGCCCTAGGTTTACTTGATCATTTGGATGGTTTGGTGGCTTAGTTTTGAGGTTTTGGGTTTTTTTTAAGATGCGGAGCCCTCGGCCCAGCAGACGATAGGCACCGGAGGGAAGGTGAGCCTGGTGAGGAAGGTGAGCAGTGACTGCAGGACAAAACTAGATGCTCTTTTGTAGGCAGGGTACTTGTGGTGAATCTGCATACATACTTGGTTTTTTGTTTTACAGGCAATGCACCGACATCTAACGTGTAGTCCAACGTGACGGGGACCCTCCCTGTAAGAGGTCACGGTCAAGGGGTGTGAGACAGAAACTGCCATGGGAGCAGCATACTCTTGGACAGTATCTCAGTACTCAGATTTGCCTCTGGGGTTTTTTTGCAGGAGACGTACGCAACCTCACAGGGCTGAAGCCAGCTCTCAATGAGGTGACGAACACGGTTTGGTCCTCTCGAGCTGTCCTTGTAGGTAATCTCCGAGTATTAAAAAGATCAGCAGTGAAGCATTGAGCTTTTTTGATTGCAGGTGCCATCTGGGTAACCTTTGGGAGCAGATGAGCATTGGAGGTGAGTCAGGGAGGCAGCAGGAGGAGCGGGGATCCACTGCAGCTTTAGAGTTGCCCTCTAATTTTGTCTCTCGCTCACTCAGGTATCCCAGAAGATGACATCACATTGTCCTACTCTGGTCAGAGCCAGCGACCCGAGGAGCTGCTTCGGTGAGAGTGAGTAGAGGGATCATGGGGGCTGGGGCCATGTGCCACACTACTCAGATATGGTGTCTGGTTTTCTTTCTCGCAGTGGACTCCTAGTAGTCTGACGATGGCAGGAACCTCTGAACCAGCCCAGGTGCCCCTCCTGTGCATCAAAGATGGATTGACATCCCCGGCTCTCGGAAAGTTAAGTGCAGGGCAAAGACCCAGAGAGGAGTTGGGAGTCGGGGCAAGTATGTGCCTCGCCTGGAGGGATTTTTGAAATTAGTACAGTGCAAGGGGTATTATCCTGGAACAGGTTATTAGGACGCGTCAAAGGAAGGGCTTACTTTTTATCATGGGATTCACGTGTGCAGGGCAGAGCAGTTCGAGTCTGTGTCACGTCCTTTGTCTCGTCCGTGTTTTGTGTCACGTGGTGTGTGTGGTCACAGGTCCGGGATGTCTCACTTGGGGTCAGCCTGGAACTGCTCTGCCCTGCTCCTTGGATCAGTGGGTAGATGGGATCTGGCTCCGAGTGTCAGGTCAACCTGTCAGTTCCCTCAGACAGACGTGCCACTGGCCGTACAGTCTGTGAGCAGGATGGTCTTCTGATGCCCTGCTTGGGTGTATAGAGTCCTGGCTAGGTAGAGTAGGAAACAGTGTCTAGGGTTTAGAGGTTTTTGGCTTTCCTTGTGAGCGATCCCTAAATGTTTGAGAGCTGAGTGTTTGAGCATTTGCCCATTTCATTTGCAGGGGCGGTCTTGGGAGCAGCTGAAGAGAGAGGAGCCTTGTAGGTGAGTTGGGGAGGCAGCAGGAGGAGCGGGGATCCACTGCAGCTTTAGAGATGCCTTCTCAGTTTCTGTGTCAGTCACTCAGGTATCCCGGAAGGTAAGAGCCCCAGTGTCCGACTCCGGTCAGGGCCTCGGTGCTGGTGAGTAGGGGGATCACTGGAGTTCGATCCCCATGCCGCACAACTCACGTATCGCTTATAGGTTTTTTTCTCGTAGTTGACTTGGAGTAACCTCGTGATCGCAGGAACCACCTCACGATGGGGCAACTGACCCAGATTGGTCGTCTTGACCTGTCCTCATCTGAAATCTCCGAGTATTAAAATGATTAGCAACGAGGCACTGAGCCTTAGTGATGGCAGGTGCCATCCGGGTAACTTTTGGGAGTGGCCGGGTATTGGAGATGAGTCGGGTAGGCAGCATGAGAAGCGGGGATGCACTGCAGCTTTAGAAATGCCCACTAATTTTGTCTTTCTTATATTTCTCTTAGGCTCTTCTCCTGATTTTTATTCTCTTAGTCTCTTCCCCTGATTTTTATTCTCTTAGTCTCTTCTCCTGATTTTATTTTACTTAGGCTCTTCTGATTTTATATCACTTAGGCTCTTCTCCAACTTCTATTTCTCTTAGCCTCTTCTCCTGATTTTAATTTTTTAGGCTCTTCTCCTGATTTTGAATTTTTTAGGCTCTTCTCCTGATTTTGATTTTTTTAGGCTCCTCTCCTGATTTTGATTTTTTTAGGCTCTTCTCCTGATTTTAATTCTCTTGGGCTCCTCTCCTGATTTTTATTCTCTTAGGCTCTTCTCCTGATTTTAATTTTTTTACTCTCCTCTAATGATTTCAATTTTTTTAAGGTGCTCTCCTGATTTTGATTTTTTTTGGCTCCTCTCCTGATTTTTATTCTCTTAGGCTCCTCTCCTGATTTTTATTCTCTTAGGCTCCTCTCCTGATTTTTATTCTCTTAGGCTCCTCTCCTGGTTTTAATTCTCTTAGGCTCCTCTCCTG